GGAAGGTGAGAATGGGGGAAAGGAAAGAGAACCCTAAAGTTCTGCCAAGTTCAGTCTTTGGTGTTTGGGGAAGACCTGTCTGCTAAGGACTCTCCCAGAAGAAGGGGACTCTGCAGCCTGGCCCCTGTGGCCTGCTTTTCCTAGGGGCCTGCTGCTTTCTCCTAGAGTTGGGGTGCATTGGGACCCCCTCCCATCTTGAAAGGAAAAGGATGATCTGCAAGCTGTTAGCCCAGATGCAGCCCCAGACCATGTAAATGGGTCTGGATCTACTCTTACCCCTAAAGTAAGGTTGGGCACAGGGATAGACACAGGCCAGAAGTCAGAGCCCTGGACTCAATTCAGAGAGAGGAGGTGATGCGATCTTAGGGCTCCCCCACCCACCCACATAGGCCCTCAATTCCCACAGGGCTGTTAAATGAAATAGATTTAGCAAATCTACCAGGTACTTTGCAAATGTTTACTAAGGAAGCCCTCACAATAACCCTGTCAGGTGGGTGTATTACTGCTCCATTTTACAGCAGGGGAAACTGGGGCAGGCTAAGCAAGCTGTCCGAGGTCAGCTGGCGGGTGGCTCTGCCGTGGGCACCAGAAACTTGGCTCTTAGTTCCCCTGCCAGGAGCCTCCCTGTACAGACTGACCTCGTCTGGAACATTTCAGAATGGGGTATGGGGCTCAGAGAAATTAAGACAGTTGCCCAAGGCCACACAGCTCAGATTCGTCAATGCCAGTTTCTGCCTCACTCCTGGAAGAGAAAAATCACAAAATGTTCCTATTTCACTGCAACTGGGTAAAATTTAGTTCAAAAAAATTTAGTTCCATTTTCACCAATTTAATAGACATCGTGAAAAGAAGGAAGGATGAATGGATGTGTTCAGAGAGCCATATCCCGTTTTTGCAGGACTGCGCTCCGGGAACTATATTCAAGACCAGGGCTTTTATCCCGCAAAACAAGATCGCCAGACGGAGGCAGGACCGGGAGGAAATCACCTGCTGGGACCGAGTGGGAAAGAGCAAAACCCACTCGGACGGGGCACGGGCGCCACCTGGCGGCACAGCTATGCTAAGGCAGAAACTTCAATCATTTCTCTCCTTTCGACCCGCTGGACCGCAGATGAGAGGTACTGGGAACACACTCCAGACTACGCTATTTTTCATAACATTGACAACCCAGGTGCCCACCTGTCTGAGACCCATATACCATACACGCCTTCCCTTGGAGAATCATATGAAAGACACTCCTATTTCAAGAGATGGTCACTGAAGGCCATAACATGCCATCTGTCACCTGCCAGCCTATTGCTTATAAAGCTCTGCCCTTCCCCATCACTCTGCCTCTCCAGTCATTGATCCATTGGGCAGCAGCAGGACCGAACCTTGAGCTCTCCTTAAGTGACTTCCTGTCTTCTGAGTCTCCACTAATGACCCACGCTGTGTCCCCACTGTTCTGCATTATCTCCACTATTTTCAGCTGACAAAGACCCTGATGGCACCCAGACCACCGCCCCAGTGATTGTCCCCCACCTCCTCATGGCCAGCTCTGATTTCAGAATGGGGAATGGGGCTCAGAGAAATTAAGACACTTGCCCAAGGCCACACAGCTCAGATGCCACAATACAAGTTTCTGCTTCACTCCTGGAGGAGAAAAATCACAAAACACAAAATGTTCCTAATTTCACTGCAACTGGGTAAAATTTAGTTCAGTCCTACTTCCATTTTCACCAATAAAGCTGCCTGTCTTGTAAGTAACAAAATGATCTGAGCAAGAAACGAAGAGCCTGTGTAGAGGTGACAACACCATCACATCACCACCTCCATTCCCACCTCCCATTCCCACCTGTCACCAGCAGTGTCGCCGTCTTCAACGTGGTCACCAGTGTCACCATCGGCAACACCCTCACCACCACCTCGGCACCACCACCCTTTTTCATCCTCCACCCCGCTCTGCACACCGGGCAAAGGGGAAGGAGGTGCTGCAGAGCCTGGGAACCAAGAGGAATCTCGCTTTGACCCTGGCTCCTCTGACACGGTCTCTGATGAACCTGGGCTTGCAGCCTCAGGATTGGCCAACTACAAACAGACCAGGGGAAGGCAGAGGAGGGTCTAGGACCTCAGGCGGTTCGCTGCTGGGGTCACCGTGGCTAGGTGCAGCTGTCCTATTGACGAGGCCACTTTGGAGGCAGGGAGAGGATCTGAGGTCCTGGGCCCTGTCTGGGGAGGAGGAGGAAGTCCCTCCGGTGATAGATAGGTTAGTGGTCACGGCTCTGCTGCACACCACGATGAGATCTGCTGGGACCCAGAGGAGCAAGAGGGGAAGCAGCTTCCCTCCAGCAGCCACATCCCAGGGGAGCTGCCTGTTCTACCTCCTTCCAAAACACCTTCTTTTAATTTCTCGTTCCTTCTTCTATGCCCCAGAACCTAGCATGACCCACAGCACACAGGAGGAACTCAATACATGTTTGTCCAATTCATGGGGAAAGAGCTAGCCATGCTCTGCTCCCCACAGCCCAGTGAGAGAGAAGATTGGAGCCCCAAGGCAAGATGCCTCCAGTCCTTGGAGGGGGGGGCGGGCGTGGCCTCAACAAGAGCACACCCTGGATTACCTGGAGCCCGTCCATCTGCCGCTCAGAGCACCTTCCTCTTAAGTCAAGATCTCATCCCGGCACCAAGCAGGCTGCAGCTCCTTGTTCTGTTTCTTGGTAAAGGTTTAGAAGTGTTGCGGCTTTAGCTTTGTACACTGGAAATGGAGTCTTTGTGCCCTAAACATGTAAGGCAGCTTCCATTCTGGACAGCTCTCAGTGTTTTTAGAATTGAAGGCAGTTGTGCTGGGGGAGTGCTCTGTGGGAGGTACAGGGAGCCTGGGGCACCAGTGGACAGGCCTGACCTCACCCACCTCTTCCAACTCTGAAACAGCCATGGTGGGAGAGTATTGGCACCCAGAACTAGCAAATTCTCCACAAAGAATCACTGTTGAACACTGATCGGGAGAAAGCTGGGAGATTGCTGGGAGCCTTTACCAGATCCTGGGATCAGATGAGGAAAGAGTTGATTGGATTGTCTCTGTGCTAAGTGCTCGGGATTGCACACCGGCCTGGCCCATGCTGCCCAAGCACCGTACCACTGAGCCCAGCCCAGCCCCCCACTCATCTTCATCCTCATCATTGTCCAGCCAGCCTGTGCATCCACGGGTTCTGCATCTGAAGACTCAACCAACAGCAGATCTAAAAAAAAAATTTTTTTTAATGGTGCCAGCCAGACACAGTACCTGTAATCCCAGTGACTCAGGAGGCTGAGGCAAGAGGATCCCAAGTTCAAGGGCAAGCATCAGCAATTTAGTAAGGCCCTAAGCAAGGGAGCGAGACCCTTTCTCAAAAATAAAAAATAAAAAGGGCCAGGGATGTGGCTCAGTGGTTAAGTGCTCCTGAGCTTATATCTGGTATGAAAAAAGAAAATTGTGCCTGTACTGAACGTATTCAGACTTTTTTCCTGTCATCATCTCCTAAATCCAGTGTAGCTCTTCACAGAGCATTTCCATTATAGCAGGCACCGTGCTCTAGACCTGTCTGGACCTGTCTGGAGTGTGTGGGGGATGTGTGTAGGTCAGTCGTAACTATGCCGTGTCACATAAAGGACTCAAACACCTGTGGACCTTGGTATTTGTGGAGCTCCTGGAACCAATCTCCTATGGATGCCAAGAGACGACGGTACTTATAATCACAGATGCATTCGAGTATTCACTCTGCCAGGCTTTATACACACACACACACACACACACACACACACACACCCCTCCGCAGCACATTCTGTTGTCACACATTCTGCCTACCTGGGTCACAAGGGTAAGTGACAGGTCACCTGCTTGGACTTGGTAGGATGAGGTTTTGACAGGGCACCAAGCATGAGACAGGCAGGGGTCACCCACAGTGGCCTAGGTCTCTGATTTCTCTGCTCCAACTCGGTGGCCCGCAGCTGGTGTAAAGCCTGCAGATATCCCTTCCATCCTCCCCTTTCAGACACAGGCCACTGTACTTCCCCCCACCCCACCCTGCCCTTGAATCGAGGCATGGTCAGGTGACCTGCCTTGGATGATAAATTTGAATTAAGGCAACTGTGTCATATCCAGGGGAAAGTTCTCCCCCCACACACACACACACTGGGGATTGAACCCAGGGGCACTTAACCACTGAGCCATATCCCCAGCCCTTTTTTTAAGACGGGGCCTTGCTAAGTTGCTCAGGGCCTCACTAAGCTGCTGAGGCAGGTCTTAAGCTTTCGATCCTCCTGTCTCAGCCTCCTGAGCACCTGACCCAGGTAAAAGTTCTAGGAGCCTACTTTTTCACTTTCCCTTTCCCAGTGTCAAAGGAAACTGGCATCTCTCCAGAGGGAGGCTGTTCCAACAGCCTGGGGCACAGGGAGCAGAGCTCTTGGCTGACCCACACACAGCAGCCGCAATGGAAAGAAAGAAACCTTTGCTGCACTCGGAGGGGGGGTTACTGCTTCTGGAGCATAACTCTTACCACAGGTAACGCAGCCTACCCCAGCCGACACCGCCCCAGCAGAGCCAGACACGTGCAAGTCTCAAAAAATGAATGAGTGAGTGAATGGCAGAGAATAAGGACAGGGTCACAAATTCTCCCTGGACTAGTGGTCGAGGGAAGAGCCCTGTCTCGAGCTGGCTGTCTCACACACATGTACCCGGGCTGGGGTAAGAGTTGAACTCCAGACCTTTATTTCCTGGGGTCACAGCTCATCTGGTCAGTATGGGGGAGGCTCTTAGGGAGTGAGGAACGAGGAGCTGTAAAGATGAGAATGTGAGGTGCCAGGAGAGCCTGGGAGACGGAGAGGAGGAGTGAGCGGGAGAGGGAGAGGAGGCAGGAGTGGGGGAAATGAGCGCTTAGGGGCAGAGAGACAAGGCCCACGCTGAGAGATGGAGACTCCCAGGGCAAAGAGGGAGGCAGAGACGGGGAACCTGCAGGGCGCAGGGCAGGGCAGGGCTGGACGCCCTAGAAGCAGCGGGAGTCCTTGCTGCTGGAGGAGGCAGGCCTGGTGCTGGAGGGAGCCCCTCTGCTGGAGCTGGGGCCCCCGCTTGATTCTGACCCCACGCCTCTGCTCGCCAGGCCACCTGCAGAGCTCTCCTGGCCTCTGCTGGAATCCATATAGCCAGTGGACACCAGGTTGCTGCCCGAACTAATGGGTCTGAAGGTCACACGACCGGCGCTCGAGGTCCGACTGGAACCTGGGACCCCACTGGCACTCATGGGGCCAAAGGTGGTCTGGCCCGTACTGGAGTGGTGACCCCTGGACAGCTGGCCTGCACTGGAGCTGGGGATGCCAAAAGTGACACGGCTGATGGAGCCTGTGCCCTGATCCTTGCTGGCTCTGTGGCTCAGGATGGACCCAGGAATCCCAGGGATCCTGCTGGTGGCCCCCAGGGAGGGCCCAGCACTGGCCACTCTGGTGCTTGAGAAGGCCCCGGCCGGGGTGCTGTCTATCTTCCCCACTGCTTCCGCCAGCTCCTTCTGGCGCTGCTCCTGGGCCAGCTCCTGGACCTCCACCTGGGGCGGGGAGGACAGTCAGGGCCCCAGAGAACAGCCGAGGCCCTCCCCACAGCACTGCCGGCCCCGGCCACCACCTGCAGCTGCCAGCCTGCTCACCGCCTGCATCACTTGGCTCAGCAGCTCCTCCCTGCTCATGGGATGGTCGTCTTTGGCCACAAAACCGGGGGGGTCCTCTCTAGGGTGGGGGAAGGCAGAAAAGTCTAGACTCATGCCCACAAAAGGCCAATGGCACCTCCTGCCTTCACCAGAGGCCCTCAGCTGTTCTGGGGCCGGCCCTCTCCCCTTGGCAACACCCACCATCTCCTCCCACACAGTGCCCTGGAGTCCCGACTCTGGCTCTCTCTAGCCCCCGCATCATCCTCCATCCTCCCTGAGCCAGGCCCACCACCTAGTCCCAGACCCCAGCCCACTTGTTCCCTATCCCCACCAATGCCTGCCCCAGCCCGGCTCACATGCTGTCAGGTGGCTGCAGAGGGGCCATCTTCTTGGGAGGATCCTCATAGCTCTGGCCCAGCAGCAGGAGGGCAGTGTCCGTCAAGGGGGCTTGGTTCTGAGAATGCGAGAGCCAGGGCTCAGCTCAGGCCTGGCCACAGGTCAGCCCCCAGGGCCCGTCCCTGCCCTGGCCCACCTGGACTTCTAGAAAGGCCTGCACTGTCAAAAGGTACACCAGTCGCTTCTCAATGAGGCTCAGGAAGAGGCTCATGTCCCGATCCCGCATGTGGGTCTTGACACCGAGGAGGTCGTCGATGACACTGCTGTCACAGTTAGCCTTGGTGAAGAGCAGCTGGATATCTGGGGGCGGGGGGGCTACTGTCATTGATCCAGCACAGCCCACTGGACGCTAGCCCTCTCCCTGCTCAGGTCCCTGCTGTGCATTCTGTGGAGATAGCAGTCCAGGCTCAAAGATTGAAAGGGGCTCAGCTCAGCTCAGTAGACCCACCTGAGGGCTCAAGAGGACAGAGCTAACATGGGCCTTGCCTCCGTCTGACACCTTAGCCAGAAACAAACCCAGCATCCCCAGCCTCCTGGGCTCCAAGACCCTCTCCCTGGGCCCTCCCAGGGCTGGAGGGCACCCAGCAGCCTGGGGGCTGCTGCCTTTGTGTTCTTCTAACCTCAGTCCCAGTTGCATTCAGTCTTCCCTGGACCCACTAGACAGGGTCATGGCCCACTTGTGCTGAGTTATTAACCAGCCATTGTTCATGAACTAAGAAGGCACCGGGACCTCGACAGAAACCTGCATCCTATCCTCCCGCAGTCCCGGGATCTCTCACAAAAAAACACCATCCTCCCGGACCCTGGCCATCAGTCCCCTGCTTGCTGTTTCATACAGTTTCATGGCATTCCTGCATGTTCTTTAAATATATATATAACATGCCTCTATTTCAGTTGTGTTTAACTTCATAAGAGGGGTCTCATGGCATTATTGATAGCAGCAAACAATTGGAAGTGACCTAAGTGGATAACTCTGGGACAGCCATAATGTTAAGGGTTGAATTGCGCCCCCGAAAAATGCACGTGTTGGAGTCCTAACTCCCCAACGCCTCAGAATATGACTTTATTTGGAAATAGGGTCATTGAAGATGAACTCATGATAAGATGAGGTCAGAAGGGAGTGTAGTGGCCCCCGCCCAACATGATTAGAGTCCTTATAAAATGAAAGGGGAAATGCAGAGATGGGACCCAGAGAGCAGAGCCATCTACAAGCCGAGAACAGATGCCTAGAACAGATCCTTCCTCCCCAGCCCTCAGGGAGAACCAATCCTGCAGAGAATTCGATTTCCAGCTTCTGCCTCCGACTGTCAGACAACACACTTCTGTGTTTAAGCCATCCCATTTGTGGTATTTTGCTACGGCAGCCCCAGCAGGAGAATAAATCTCGTAATATTACAGAATGAAACTCACCAAGACCAAGAATGAGATAGCACTACTATTCCATTCTGTTTTTATCATATTACCACGTCACTCTATGTTAATATATTTTGATTACTGAAATGGCACCAAGATATTGGTGAATTGAAAAAAGCAAAATAGCACACTTCTAAATGGAGGAACATGTTATTTACACAAAAATGACCAACCAAAAATGTATAAAATGCCTGAGTGTATGTGTGTGTGTTTGTAAATCCCAAGAAAAGGCGACCTGATTGAGTTCCACTGCACACCCACCGCCTCACCACGGCCCTCTGCTCCTCTCCTGCTGTAGTGCCCATCACCATCACATCTGACAACTGCACCTCCATTTCCAGAGTGGCTCAGAAAGAGGAACCATACTGAGGCTTACAAATGGTGGCAGTGGTTCCAAGCCAGGGTGGCCTGGCTCCTGAGTGCTCTGAATGGCTCCTTCCCCCAAAATAAGATGGAAAGGAGGACACCCTGGAGGGGTGATTTTAGCAAAAGAAACTCTAGGCTCCCGCCTCATACAATATATACAGATTAATTTGCAATATGGAGCAAAAACAATAAAGTTCCAGCAGAAAACAGAGGAGAGTGCCTTTGTCCCCTTAGAGCAAGCCAAGACTTCTAGGGAAGGCCACAGAGTCACTAACAACAAAAAGAAAAGTTGGTAAATTGGATACCATCAAAACTAAAAAATAAATTTAGGTTTATCACAAGAAAATGAAAAGGTCAACTATATGGAAGAAAACATGAAAAAGAAACACTTTCCCACTATTGGTGGGATTGTAAATTAGTACAACTGCTACGGAAATCAGTATGGAGGTTCCTCAGAAGATTAGGCCTGGAACCACCATATGACCCAGCTAGAACACTTCTCGTATTTATTCTAAAGAATTAAAGTCATCTTAACTATAGCAATACATGCATTCCCAAGTTTATAGCAGCACATTTCACAATAGCCAAACTATGGAACCAGCCTAGGTGTCCATCACCAGATGAATGGATAAACAAAGTGTGGAATAGCTAGGCATGGTGGCACACACCTATAATCCCAGAGACTCAGGAAGCTGAGGCAGGAGGATCACAAGTTCAAAGCCAGCCCAGCAACTTAGTGAAAATGTAGTATATATAAGCGATTAAGTTTTATTCAGCCATAAAGAAAAATGAAATTATATCATTTGCAGATGGAAATTGAGACCATTATATTAAGCGAAATAAGCCAAACTCAGAAGGTCAAGGGTCATATGTCTTCTCTCATATGTGGAAGGTAGAGAGGAAGAAGGAAAAGAAAGGTGAGGGATAGCGATGATAATGTAAAAATCAAAGGGAGATGAGAATAGAAGGAAGGGCCAGGGAGTGGTGAAGGGATATTCTGGGATGGACATTAGCCAAATTATATTGTTATATTGTGTGCATGTACTAATATGTAACAATCAACCCCACCGTTCTATACAACTATAATGCAGCTATACAAAATGTGGAGGAAAAAAAGACTACTATTCAGAACATGCAGTGAACTCATGCAACTCGGTTTTAGCAAGACAAACACCCTAATTTGTTTTTAAATGCACAGGATTAAACAGGGTGCCCTAAGTTATTAGTCATCAGACAAACTCAAATTAATAGAGGTAGTACCGCATGCGCATTCAAAGGGCTAACATCACAACCTCTGACGGTAAGAGGGGCCAGCCAGAGCGCAGGGCATCTGGAACACTCTGGTGCCCTCATGTGGATTTTCTAATAAATCTCAGTACCTACCTGCCCTGTGACTCAACAATACCACCACCCCGCAGGCATTGGTGGACAGAGGGCTAGACCAATCAGTGTGAACATATTCATCCAGGAATACTGGATGGCTGATGCCCTTGATGAACAGAGATGGATGTGGTCTAGACTGATAAGCAGGTGCACAAAGCAGCCACGGTATACCTCCAAGGGGCCAGCCCAACTGGACCCTCTGCCGGCTCACTGCACCCCTCCAGATCAAGAAGCTGGGGCTGGAGGAGGGGCTGCCACAGGCGCTCACCGGCCTTGAGCGTTTCCACCTGACCTCGAAAGTCCTTCAAGCGGGCCTCGAGCTGATCCGACTCAGAGCGCGCCTTATCCAGGTGCTGCTGCAAGGCTGCCTGCCGCTGCGCCTCCTGCTCCTGCTTGGTGCTCCCGCTGGCGCGCTCGTTCACCAAGGCCTCCTGCATCTGCGGGGCAAGGACTGGACACTGGGCGGGGCTTCAGGAGCAGGGGAGGAAAGTTCAGGGACCAGAGAAGGGGGAAGGGGGAGGAGGGGGGATGGGGGAGGAGGAGGGAGGAGGAGGAGGAGGAGAATGGGGGAGGAGGAGGGGGAGGAGGATGGGGAGGAGGGGGAGGAGGAGGAGGAGGGAGGAGAATGGGGGAGGAGGGGGAGGGGAGAAGGCGCGGAGAGCTCACCCACCTCTTTGATCTCTTCTAGAAGATGCTGCAGTTCCCAGTTCTGCTCATTGATGAAGTTAAACTCCGCGAAGTTGCGTTCCTCAACTGGGGGAAATTAAGGTGGGGTACAGAGAGAGAGAGACAGAAAAACAGAGATCACAGAAGAGCAGAGAAAAAAATATTCAGAAAAACCACACAGAAAAATAAAATAAAATTGAAAACAAGACCACACACAGACAAAAGTAGAGACCAGTAGAAAGAAAAGGTATCAGCAGAGTGACACTGAAATCCAGAGTTAATCAGAGTGAAAGAGTCTGCGACAGAAAGTCTCAAGGAGGCACACAGCAGGAGAGATGCAGGGGCTCAGAGAAAGGCGAGGTGTGAGAAAAGAGGGAGACAAATCCGAGAAACAGCAGCAGGGACGGGAGAGAAATGAGGGACATGGAGTGGACGGAAAGACTCCATAGGCGGCCCAGGCACGGGGCAGGGGAGGTGGGGAGACGGAAACAGAAGGCAGATGCAAGAGGGCTACGGAAACCGAACCCCGAGGGAAGGGTACAGACCCCCCCAGGCCCGTGGGAAACACTGCAGGGTGGGGGAGGGTGGAGAACAAAGGGATGAGGACAGCAAAGGGGGACAGAGACAGGCCATAGTCCCAGCAAATGGACAGAGGCCGCGCGTCCCAGGCCTGGTTCCTTGTTCCTGCGCCGGTAAAAGTCCCCAGGCCCAGAGATGCCTAGCGCTGACCCAGGATGGTCCACGCGGGATGTGGGGGTGCTGGGCCAAGAGCCCCCCTCCCTCTGCCCAGCGCCACTCACTGTCCAGGTACTTCTGTACCAACAGATCCGGGTTGCTCTCGCCGGTCAGCTGGGACAGTTTACTCATGGTGTCCTCATAGCGCATCACCAGCTTCTCCTGGGAGCTCTTTCGGAGTCCTTCCGCCTCCTCCCCAGCTGAAGAAGCCACAGCTGCGAGGTGGCACCAGGGGCTCGGAGCCCAGGGCACCCGCTTCCACCGACACCCGGAGCCCGCCCTGGAGTGGCAACCAGGCCTCCCGGGTGGGCGTCACCCCGCTGCTCACGCCTCTCCGCGGTGAGATCCCCGCGGTCGTTGTTCTTGAGCTTGAGGAAACGGTGCAGCTGGTCCAAGTGTGATATCTGCCGCTGCAGGATCTGCACCTCCGTGTCGTTCTGGGCCACCTCCTTCTCTGTCCGCTCCCGAAGCACGCCCATTTTGGTCTTTGCCTCCTCCCTGTGGGGGGAGATCAGCAAGGACCAGGAGGTCAGGATGGGGTAGAGGTCTGGGGTCCTGGTATAAGCACTGTCAGCTGGGGGTCGTAGGGATGGGGGGAAGTTAGCTGGGGTCACTGGGATGGGGCCAGGTCGGCCTGGGACAGAGCAGTCATCCTGTAACCACAAAGAGCACAGAGCTTGCTCCGGGAGCCAGATCAAGATAGGGCTATGGGGCAGCCAGGACCTTGGGAGGACTGACAGCATGGCCCACTGACAGGCACTGCCACTGTACCCAGGGCATCTGGGAGGCCAAATGCCCCCGTGACCCTGGAAGGAGAACAAAGGTGGTGATGAGGGCCAGTGGGAGATTATACCAGGATGCCCAAACGTGGGCCCAGGTGATAAGGTGACTGTACCAGAGCTGTGAGATTGTGTTGTTGGAAATTTAGAGGCTTGTACAGCTCAGGGCCTGGTAAAGCCAGGGAGGAGGTGTCACCCCATTAGGATATCGGGGACTCCCTAGAAGCCTCTCTCATGCACATCCCCTGCCTTGCTCAGCTCTGAACGCAGCTTTTCTGCTTTTGGCCTGGTGTGACCAACAGTAAGTTCACCACACCTAGCCTACTGCAAGGTCACAGGGTCAGGGGGTAAGACATAACGAGGGCCGGTTCCTGAGGCTCTCTGCCCACTGCCATTCTAGTTCCCACCTCCATACCCTGGCCAGTCTTGGTTCCTCCACCCAGATCCCAGCTTCTTGCTGAAATTCGATTCCTTCAAGGCTAGTTATGGCCAGGCCTCATGGGTGGGCAGCCTCCCAACAACCTGGTCCCCAGTGACAGCTCCAGCCTCGCAGTCAGGACTTGCAGATCTTTCTGTTCCTGGGACTCCATGGAGCCCAGGGACAGGGGAAAGAAACCCAGCTTCCGGGCAGCTAGGACCTTCAGGGGTCTGCCTTACAACAGTAGCTCGGGGAAGCAGAAACCATCGTGACAATCATGTCACAGTGAAGAAAACAGGCTCAGAGAGGGACAAGGACCTGCCCAGGTCATCCAGCAAGGAAGTACTGGAGACACAAGCTGGTGGGACAGAAAGTGTGGGCGATGACACCTGCCCCTGCTGAAACTGCCCTGTGCGGCGCCCAGGCAGGTGCCCACTTCAGGAGGCTGGAGGAGGGTGGCACGGGCTTGTTTCTGGCAGTGCTCGGATGGGCCACAAGGACTGGGCAGAAAGTATGAAACTCGACAATCAGATTCCCTCCCTCAGAATCTGAATTAGGAGATGCTAAGAATGAGAGAACAGGAAGCCGAAGCTAGAAGGGTGTACATGGAGAAAGACCTGGGCCACGGCAGGGCCAGGCTATGAAGAAGCCCAGCTGCGAGGGAACAGAAGCCACCAACTAGGTACCGTCAGGCCCTGAAGGGTCAGGGCAGGACAAAGCTGAGAAACCACAGTGGCTGAGCCTCAGAAGCTTCACCCTGAGGGAAAGCCCAACACGAAAGGTCCCAGGCTGCCCGATTCCACCTATATGAAATGGCAGAACAGGCCAGGCCCAGAGACAGAAGGAGCCTGGAGGGCACCAGGGGCAGGAGAGTGAGCAGGAGTTTCTTTTGGGGTGACCGAATGTGTTGGAGAGGAGAAGTGGGTACAACACTGAGGCATTCTAGATGCCGTGGTCTGCACACTTGGAGATGGTGAATCTTGTTATGTGCATTACAAAGAAAGGAAGAGGAAGGGAAGAAATCACAGAAACCCTGAGGCACACCTGGTCTTCAAGGGACCCGGTGGTGTCAGGCGCCCCCAGGAAACAGAAGTCAGGGGGTGGACAGCAGACGCAGAGGAGAAGGTAAGACGCCAAGCAGGGAGTGGGAGAGGTAACCAGGGAGCGGGAGAGGTGCCCGGGGAGCTGGGAGAGGTGGCAGGGGAGCGGGAGAGGTGCCCGGGGAGCTGGGAGAGGTGCCCGGGGAGCTGGGAGAGGTGGCAGGGGAGCGGGAGAGGTGGCNGAGAGGTAACCAGGGAGCGGGAGAGGTGCCCGGGGAGCTGGGAGAGGTGGCAGGGGAGCGGGAGAGGTGGCAGGGGAGCGGGAGAGGTGCCCGGGGAGCTGGGAGAGGTGCCCGGGGAGCGGGAGAGGTACCCTGGGAGCGGGAGAGGTGCCCGGGGAGCTGGGAGAGGTACCCTGGGAGCGGGAGAGGTGCCCGGGGAGCTGGGAGAGGTACCCTGGGAGCGGGAGAGGTGCAGGGAGCGGGAGAGGTGCAGCCTGGAGCCCCGCACAGGAAGGAAGCCAGCACCCAGCTTCCAGGGCTCCACTGGGAAGCAACCTGGGAGAACCGCGTCCCTTTCAACCAGCACTGATGAGCCTCGCTGCTGGGTGCCTCCGCGAGTCCCAGGCCCCCAGCTACGTGCGTCACCTGAACTCTCTCTCCATCTAGGAGCTGGAAGCATTAACAGGGTGACCTGAACCCTCATTCTAACCCCGTGCCCGAGAGGCGAGAGGCGGAGAGGCCAAGTGACACGTCACTGGGGAGCTGGCTCGGTCGTTTCTCGAGTCTAGAGCCCCCCCGCCCTTCCTTGTGAGTCTAAGCCCACCCGCCCCGCCCCAGCCGCGAGCCCGGGGCCCCACCTGACGGTGTAGGCGGAGGTGGAGGAGACGATGAGCGAGCTGACCATGTGCCGCAGGTGGTGGATCTCCTGCGGAGAGGAGCAGGAAATGAGCGCTGCCTGGGCCAAACCCGTCGCACTGCCCCGCCAGCAGAGAAATGCCCAAGCTGCGACGGGAGCCTCCTCGTGAGCAGCTGCCTGGGAAAGGGCCCTAAAGAAATATGGGACAGGGCTGGGCGGGGCTCAGCGGCAGAGCACTTGCCTGGCACGTGAGAGGCACCACATAAATAACAAATAAACAAAGGCAGGGTGTTCATCTGCAACTACCAAAAAAAAAAAATTAAAAAGAAGAAGTGTGGGACAGAGGAACGTGGAATGGATGAGGGGCAGAGGTGGCTCAGAGCCGCTCTCCAGGGAAAACGCCTAACCAGGACTGTTCCTGAGAGTGGTGGGCAGGGAGATCCATGGGACCCTATCACTGTGCTGCAACGGGGATGCAGGTCCCCCCCACACACAGAGGTCCACATGGGCAAAGCCTGCTCCCAGCATCAGGTCACTGGGAGATGGGGTCACCTTTAAGAAGCGGAACCTAGTGCTAGGTGATGGATTAGGTCACTGAAGGTGCTGCCCTCAGAAGGACCCTGAGTGCATTCTTTTGAGAGCAAATCTGGCTCCTTCCGTGTCTCTTGGTCTTCCTGTCTCATCATATAATGTCTCCCTCTTGCCCGTGCTCCACCATGATGCCATCTACTATGATGTGACACAGTCAAGGGGGCCTTACAAGAGCCAACATTGTGCCATGTAGACTTTCAGCCTTCAAAACTATGAACTGAAAAACCTCTTTTCTTTATAATAAAGTATGAAGCCTCAGGTATTTGTCATAGCAACAGAAAATGAATTAATATACCCTGTGACCACACTTCTATTTTCTATTTTCTAGTTCCACAGATATTTCTACAGTGTTATGGGTAAAAATTACTCTTTCAAAAGGAAGAAAGAGCCAGGTGCAGTGGCACATGCCTGTAATCTCAGTGGCTTGGGAGGCTGAGGCAGGAGGATCACCAATTCAAAGCCAGCCTCAGCAACTTAGCAAGATCCTAAGCAACTCAGCAAGATCCTTTCTCTAAATAAAATACAAGGGTTTAGGGATGTGGCTGAGTGGTTAAGGCCCCTGGGTTCAATCCTTGGTACAAAAAAAAAGGAAGGAAGGCAAGAAATTTGATATACATATATATACATATACATACATAAAACATGTATAGATACACAGATACATAAACAGGTGGGCATACACAACAACCTACGTTAGGGTAGAGAAATGTATGACTTACAGGAGCTGAGTGGGAACCAGGTAGAAGAGATGGGAAGGCAATGATTTTTCCTTGGGATACCTTTTAGAAGAGGGCGCTTTGCCCCTGAGCCACATCCCAGCCTTTATTTATTTATTTATTTTTTATTTTGAGACAGGGTCTCACTAAGTTGCTTAGAGCCTCACTAAGTTTCTGAGGCTAGCTTTGAACTTGTGATCCTCCTGCCTCAGCCTCCTAAATGGAATATTTTTGATTTGGGAGACTTATTAATGTTTTACTTATTCATAAAAGAAATCAACAGAGAGAAAAGGAAACTAACCCCTAATATAAACAGAAGTCATGAACCTCACTGTATCACACATGAAGAACAAAATCACAGGCTGGGGATATGGCTCAGTTGGTAGAGTGCTTTCCTTGCATGCACAAGGCCCTGGGTTCAAACCCCAACACTAAATAATAATAATAATAATACAGAAGACCAAAAAATAGAACTACCCCAAAAAACTTCTGAACACAATGATTTGAATAGATACATAAATGCTGAGGAGAAAACAAACTAGAAGCCAACCTTGACCCCTACTCGTTATATTGGGGCGGGGAGTAGCACAGCTGTAGCAATTCTGAAACTCTTTTGAGTATACACATGATTGAGCTGACAAGTAATAAACTAATAAGATTGTTGCTTTTGGGAGCCAGGATTGCCACCGTGGAGAAGCGAGATGAAGGGGGCACATCCAGTCAAACACCAGTGATGCTGGATTGGAATTCAAGGTGTTAACAGAAATTCCTGGCTGTCTCCAGAGGAAGGGCTTCAAAGTCGTGAGGATCCATAGCAGTGAAGGCTCGGTGTCTGATTCCTGGATTCTCAATACCTGCTCCCCACTAGGAAAGAACAGGACTCCTAGGAGGATGGTGAACTCCAAGGTTAGGGCAGAAGAAGTACAAGGTCACTTTTACTGTCTGGCCAGAAAGTGCTCAAAAAAAAAAAAAAAGTGGTGGGGCTTGCCCCAAGGTCACAGAGCCAACTTGAAAGGGCACTGAGTCGCCAAATCTGGGAGTATCCGAGCATCAAAATCAATGATGATACCATGGGCTATCACCACTAGAAAGACAAAGTCAGAATGCTCACTGATGACACCAACACTGGGGGAGAAGGGGCTTTTCCTGAGAACAGTAAAAGACACGGAGAAGTAGAAAGCTCCTCTGCAGCCGCGGCCCTCAGGATGCAGGCAAATCAGGAAGGGGGCTGACCAGGCCAGTGAGCGAACTCTGGAGGCAGGAGGTTTCAAAGACGAAGAATCTCCCTGAGACCCTTGTGATGTACCCATTACAAAGAGAAGCCCACCTGGGGGAACCCAAGGGTCAAAGGCAGCCTCGCTAGTCAGGGGCCAACAGGGAGCAGAGGCCTCCTGCTGGAACGCACAGCTCAGGACCTGGCGCAGGGCACTGAGCAGCCTCAGAGTCAGAACATGAAGAAAGGCCAGACGAGCTCCTAGAGAGGGACATGCACAACACGGCTGGCCTGGATGCTTCCAAAATGCCAAGGTCGTGGAGACAGGAGAGCAAAGGCAGCATTCCAAAGGAACCGTGAACGGAGCCAGGACAATCAAATTCGACCTGGGATCCTGGACCGGAGCCTGGAGCCGGAAAATCAAATTAGCTACAAAGGACGGCGCGGGGCAGTCTTGCAACATGGACCCGTTAGGATTCGAGCAATGTCAAAGTTCCTAGCTTGGATAACCGCACCCTGTTTGTTTATAAAAATGGCTGTTCTTAGGAAATGCACAGAAGTACTGAGGAGCACAATGCCTGCGACATACTGTCTAACTGAAGGACATCCGTGACACTAAACCCCTCCCAGCGGACAGTGAGCGCCGAGCGGGGGCTGCTCATCATCCTGGTGAAGGAGTGCTTTGTACGATTCTTGAATCTTTTCTGAAGGATCAAAGTTATTTCAAAGTAAAAGTGAACAGAGTAGGGGACGAAGGGGACGAAGGTGGGCAGATTCTTCAAAGGACTCTGAAGTGTCACTGACTGACCTGCAGGTGCCAGGTCCCCATCCCTGGGACTACAGCAAACCTGTGGCTCTGAGCAATTCCAAGCGAGGCTGGAGCGCTGGTACAGGCAGGGGAGGAGCGAGGGACCAGCCCAGGGCCGCCCGCCTCACTGACCTTCTTATTGGTACCACGCGCTAACCGACTGCCACTGGAGCTCCGCACTGACCTTCTTCATCTTGCGGTCCACGTTCAGATGGCGGCGCCTTTCAATGCGCAGCAGGTCCAGTTCCTCCCGCAGGGCCGCATTCCGCACCAGCTGGATGTCAAAGTGACAGGTGACCTGGGGTGGGGGGAGCAGTAGTCTCTGAGGCCTGGCCTGCCTCCCTCCTCCAGACCCAGCCAAGGAGGGGGCACAGAAACCAGCCTGTCCCCTCTGGGGACCCTGAGAGTGTACTGCCCCACTTGCAGGGCTCTTCGGTCTCCCTGACTTGGGATCCTCCGACCCCCTGGGGTCCTTTCTCCTGATACTGCTCCCTTCGCCATTTCGGAACCCCACTCCTCTGTGCAGTGCTTCCCCACCCCAGAGTTGGGGTCTGGAGAGCAGAGACACCGCCCTCACCCTGTTCAACTGGTCTTCCAGGATCTTGATCCTTCGCTGGACCTTGGCCTTCTCTTTCTGGATGAAGCCGGGAGCCCTGGCGCTCTTGCCCTGGGTGAAGATGCGGGTCTCCCACTCATTGATCTGGAAGGCAGGATGGTGTCTGTCCGTTGCCTGGGAGACCTTGAATGGCCAGGCAGACGGCCAACATCCACTGTCCCTCCCACCTCCCACAGTCCCTAACCCTCCTGTGGTTCCGGGGCTCCATATCCAACCATGACCCACCCCCCTGCCAGCCCCATGGCCCAGCTCTGGACGACAGCTGGGGCTGGCCTGGGGGGGGGGGGCGCCGTGGTGGAAGCTGAGCCAGCCGGCTCCTGCCCTGGCGTTGGGGGAAGTGCACGAGACGAGACTGAAGGAAAGGATGGCTGCCATCACCACCCCTGCCACAGAGAGGCCGGGAGAATGAGGCCAAACAGAGTGAAGAGGAACCCCAGAGGTGACAACAGGAGCCTGATGACAGAGACCCAGTGGGTCAGCTTGTGCCTAGAGCCAGCTCCCACCCAGCTGCCTCCCTTCTGTGCTGAGCTCCCTGGGCTCCGAAGGAGGCCTCATTGGGGCAGATCTTTCTTTGTCTGAGTCTCTTCAGGGGAGGGTGACGCCCCTGTGCAGCCCACACCAGTGACTTGCTTAACACTGTCTCCTGACCTGTGCTGTCATGGGTGGACTGTGTCAAAAACTCAACCCAAGTCCCCACCCCCAGTCACTAAGGGTGTGACCTTATTTGGAGGCAGGAACTTTACAGAGATCAACAAGTTAAATCAAGGTCCTTAGGTGGGGGCCAACCCCACCCACTGGTCTTTATGGAAAGGGGACATGTGAACATGGATGAGCGCCCAGGAAGGGCATCATATGAGGACGATGCTGAGGGACGCATCCACAAGCCACTGAACCCACAGGTGCCAGTGGAGAGGAGAGGCGGGGACACTTGCCCTCACTGCCAGGGAACCAGCTCCGCCAACACGTCGGGCCTGGACTTCTGGACTCCAGCGCATGAGACAACCCGTGTCTGCTGTAAGAGTCCCCAACACAGGAAGCCTGCCACCACCAGCCACCTGGGCCTGCACGGGACACCTCAGAGCACCGCAGCCGCCTCCCGACTCCCCCAGGGGTGTTCAGCTGCTTGAGGAAGACATCGACCAGACCCCAACGCACCACTGGCCCAGGCAGTGCACAGGCTCAGCACCAGGGGCCACTTTCCTTACAGGGACGTCACACCTGTGTGACCAGGGTCTCAACAGCTGGTGTGATAAAAATAAAACTAAAACCCCCAAGTTTTACCCTTGGGGGAAACTGAGCCAAGGGTATGGGTCACCTCTGCGTTAGTTCTTGCAGCTTCTGTGAATCCACAACTATCCCCAACTAAATTTTCTACTAAAAACTTCTTTAAATGTTCCATTATAAAAAAAAAAAAAGCAAGTCCATCAATAGATGAACGGATTGAGAAACTGTGGTGTACACACACTGGGGTTCTGCTCAGCTATGAAGGAGGGGGAGGTGGTGGCATTTGCTGGTGAATGGATGGAAATGGAGACCATCGCGCCACGTGAAACAAGCCAGACCCAGAAACTCAAAGGTGAGACGCTTCCTCTCATATGTAGCAACTAGAGTACACCAAGGAAAGGAGGGAAGGCGAAGACGTGAAGATGCGGGAAGATCAGTGTGGAGGCGGCATGGAGGGGCAGGACAAGGGAGGAAACGAGGAACAAATTCTCAGAAACCAATGTTATGTGCATAAATAGATACCCCTCAGGGAACTTCACCTTGCGTAGAAGTGAAAAGAAACAACCAAAAACTAATAAGTAAACAAGCGAAAGGAAGTCTAGACCAGGGGTGGGGGGAGGACAGGAAGGAAAAGTGGGGGGATCGAGAACTGAAACCGAGTCCCACACAGGTATGATGTTGTCAGGATGGACCCAACCACTCTGTGTGACTGTCATGGTCCAATAAGAAAAAAAAGCAAGTAACGCACAGTACAGGAACAATACAGAGCTCCACAAAACCACCTGGGAATGAAGGCAGCCATGCTCAGTCTGACTTCAAGAGTTGGAAAGACTGTTCAGGGCCTGTACACCATCCAGCTGGTAAGGATCCTGACTTTTTTTGGGGGGCAGGGGGCTGGGAATCGAGCCCAGATCCTTGCATGTGCCTTCCAGGCAAGTGCTCTACCACTGAGCCATATCCCCAGCCCAAGAATGAAATACAGATTTTTAAAATTTATGCATATTGTTCTTACAAATGGTTTACATAAAAAGGTTTCTAACCTGTCAGAACACAAACCTTTATAAGATTATTTTAAACTAGTGAATAAATACAACTGTCAGCAGTGCACTATGGGATCACCTAAGACCACTTGGAGAGCTGAGTAGTATCTTTTCAGGAATTCTGTGAGCCAGTTGTTAAATGTTGGTCATATAAAACTGCCCCCTGTATTAGTGTTCTGCTGCTACAGACCATATTAGTCAACTTTCCATTACTATAATGAAATGCCTGGGAAAATTAACTTAAGAAAAAAAGCTTTGTTTAGCTCACACTTCTAGAGATTCTATTCCAAGATCTGGTGGTCCCATTGCTCTGGGCCTCTGGTGAGGACATTATATGACAATAACAAAGGGCACATGTTGGACCAAACCAGTCCATCTCGAGCCAGGAGGCAGAGCAAGAGACGGAGGCCAAGGTACCACAATCCCCTCAAGGGCACACCCCAAAGGAAGGGGATATGCAAAGGTGTCAGTCTATTCATCACAGCCAAGATGGGAGGTTCACCCTGTGAAAATTAACAAACGCTACAAGTTAAGGTGCTTTTTACCCTAACGGCTGCTTCCCAGCACACCTCTGGCCGGTAGGGATTTCTCTGGGGGCTAAAAAAATTACTAAGAAATTAAGGGCTCCAGGAATCAACAGAGCTTAGGACCCACCAGCTCAGGAAATTCTCCCCAACATTAGAAAAAAACTCTTACAATTTTTTAAAATATTCATATGGTTTTATACAGTGGGAGGTAGGAATTTTTTAACAGTTTTATTGAGGTGTAGCTGACATATAGTGTAACTGCCCAGATCTGAGGTATACAAGCTGGATACAGTGGCCACACCTGTAATCCCAGTGGCTCGGGAGGCTGAGACTGTGCGATCCCAAGTTCAAAGCCAGCCTCAGCAAATTTGGGGGTGGGGGGCCTAAGAAACTGAGCTAGACCCTGCCTCAAGATTTTAAAAAGGATGGGGGTGGGCTGGGAATGTATCTCAGTAGTAAAGAGCCCCCAAGTTCAATCCTCAGTACCAAATGGGGGGAAAAAAAGATGTAAGGTGTACAACTGGATGAGTTTTGACATAGTCAAGATAGGGACTGTATCCACTCCCCCCAGGCCTCCCCACCCTCTCACAGTTCTCCCCACGCTCTCCACGGCCCCTGCCCCAGCTGTCACCCCTGTTTTCTGCACCATTTCCACTTATTTTAATGGAACCATATAGTGCATACTCTTTCAGAAGGACAGGGTCTGGCTTCTCCCACTCAGGGTGATGGATCTGAATTCCCCACCCTGTTGTGGGGCCCACAGTGCATTCTTTGCCCTGGTGAACGCGATTCCACTTTTTGCAGGTCCCACGATGTGTTTGTCCTTTCACCCCCTGATAGACGTTTAGGTTGTTTCCAAAATTCAGTTTGGGAGTTTTACAAATCAAGTTGAGTCATTATCCATATTCACGTACAATTTCTTGTGTGGACATGGGCTTCCTTTTCTCTTGGGCAAATACCGAGGAGTGGAACCCCTGAATCTTATGATAGATTTAAAAAAAAAAAAAACTGCCAAACCCCTTTCCCATGGTTGCACCCTGTGTGTCCTCAGAGCAGAGTGTGAGAGCCCCGTCCCCTAGAGGCATCACCCTGCTCACCACGCTGCCTCGATCCTTAAGTCCCAAGTCCTCGATTCTGCAGATACTGCAACAAAATCCACACAGGAGCATTCAAGTAGGTGGGAACTTCCCATGCTCCAGAGCTTAGGTATGCGAACACTAAAGTCCTCATGATCGTTATATTTACATATTTATGTAATTATGTATCCTATACTGTATTTTAGTTTTTATAGATGCTCCACTTCTGGGGCAATGGGTTCAGTGAAATTCATTTCCTTCCTAGTGTATCACTTTTGTTCAAGGGCAGTGTGGCCTGTTTCTGAATTGTAGGTAAGATGAAATAATGCTGCATGTATGTCTGATGTCTTACTTCCTTCATTCAATTGTTATTTACATTCATCCATGTTACTGTCCCTGATCAAAATCCATTCACTTTTCATGGTTGTATACTATTTCATTACACAAACATACCACGTTTCTTTACTGATGGACCCAGGCTGGCCAGTATGGGAATGCTCCTACCAACATTCTCTTATATGAGTCCTGGCTACAGGACTCAGATGTGGAATTTCTGGGTGATTATGGGTGATTATGGGTGATGAGGAGGAAGGTCAACAACAGATCTAAACCCCTTTTCTGTGGGCGAATGACTGGTTGACTCTCTCCCAACACTGCTCCCATGGAGTCAGACGGGGCTAAGGCTAGCTGGGTCCCCAGGTAATGATGTTTAGTATAAAAAATGACACCCAGGGGGCTGGGGATGTGGCTCAGTGGCAGAGCACTTGCCTAGCATGTGTGAGGCACTGGGTTTGATTCTCAGCACCACATAAAAATAAGGAAGATAAAGGTATCGTGTCCACCTACAACTTAACACCACCCAGCCGCCACACAGCATCACCAGCTGGCCATGCTCCTGCTGCCAGCTGAGAGGCCCTCACAGGACGCACTGCCTCCCGTCCTCCACCCTCCAGGCAGCTGAGTTCCAAGGGCCACCCTAGAACCTAGTGCCCCATGATGTGAACGCCAGGCTGAGCCCCAGCCCCTCGTGGTGATCAGGCCAAGAGGATGGCCCTGGGTCAGAGTCCACCTTCAGATTTCATAGATAACGGGGGAGGGTTGGGACAACCTACACCCCCACTGATTAGCAAGTGTCCCCACTGCTCCTTCACCCCAAAATGATGCTTGTATTCAGACGCCAGTGTTTGAAGGCCTGGTGTGTTTCAGGATGCCTCACTGTGGTCTTCACGAGCTTCCTCCGATGACTTATAATCCCCATGTTTACTGAGCATCCACGTTTCTTATTTTGTGATGTGTCAGCTTTGACTGTTTTTGTAACTGCACTGATGCTTAATGACACGAAGAAGTCCCTCACAGGTCCTTGGTGCTAGTCCTTGGTTAGCGTGAGCTGCAGATAACCGCTCCTACCCCCGGACTTCCTGGGCCTGCTCTTCATGGCTTCTCTGGATAAACAGAATTTATCCATTTTAATGTCATGGAATGTATCCATCTTTCCCTTTAGAAGTAGAGGTTTCTGTCACTTCTTTAAGAAATCTTTCCCACCCTCACACAATTATCTCTCTCTGATCATCTGAAATTAATTAGGAAAATGTGAGGTCAGGGTCTGATTTCATCTCATAATTTTTATGGATATTCCGTTTTTCAGCACCATTATTGGAGTTCTGTTTCTCTGAAGTTATAGATCAAACGCTCACATACGCACAGCTCTCTGAACCCAGTGGCTCTTTGCCGCTGAGCCACATCCCCAGCCTTTTTATTTTTGATTTTGAGACAAGGTCTCACTAAATTGCTGTGGCTGTCCTTGAACTTGAACTCCTGCCTCAGCCTCCTGAGTCGCTGGGATTACGGTGCGCCACTGGCTGGCTTCTTTCAGGGGCCTCTATTTTGTCTCATTGATCCGTTGGATTAGCTAGTTACTAGAGCTTTACCATCAATTTTGATAACTGATGGGGCGAATCCTCCCACATTCCTCCTCTTCTTCTAAGTAAACCTTAGTTATCTTGTCCTTTGCACTTCCATATAGACTTTGGAATCTGCTTGTCAATCACACCCGTAAAGAATGACAATGGGGCTGGGGGGTAACTGAGTGAGCACTTGCTCAGCAGGCATCAGGCCTGGGTTTGACCACAGCACTGCAGACCACTGTCACCATCATCTTTTTGATTGGGATCATATTACATCTATAAATCAATTTGCAAGAACTAACATTTTACAACACACTCTTTCAATCCATGAATGTGGTATACCTCCACATTTATTAAATGTTTCTCTAATATCCTTCAATACAATTTCACAATTTAGTCCACAGAGGTCATGCACACTTTTATTAGATGTCTTCCTAAGGACTTCTTTTGGCTATTATAAATGTCTTTTTTTTTTTTTTTTGGTACTGGGGATTGAACTCAGGGGTGCTTCATCATTAAACCACATCTCCAGCCCTTTTTATTTTTTATTTTGAGAGAGGGTCTCCCTAAGTTGGTGAGGGCCTCCCTAAATTGCTGAGGCTGACCTCAAACTTGTGATCCTCCTGCCTCAGCCTCCAGAGTCACTGGGATCAAAGGTGTGTACCACCGCATCTGGCCTTATTTTATTTTCTAATAGTTATTGCTGTTACAGGGAATTACAATTGCCTTTGCATATCAATAACTTTATATCCAGCCCGTTGTTAAAAGACCTCATTAATTACAAGTTAGCCCTAGATTCTTGGGATCTTCTATGTACATAAATATGTCATCTATAAATAATGACAGCTTTATGTCTTTCTCCCCACTTTTTATCCATTTTCTTTTCCTTGCTTTTTTTTTCTTTTTCTTTTCTTTCTTTCTTCTTCTATACTGGATAGGACCTCCCTAGAGTGCAATGTTAAACACAACTGGTGCCACCTGACAGCCTGGTATTGCTACTAATCTCAAAGGGATCCTCTTATTTTTCCATGTGTTACTGTCAAATATGATATCTATTGTAGGTGTTTTCGATGTTTTTTCCCTAGTTTGCTTAAGAGTTTTATTGCATTTTTTTCCAGCATGGGGGATTGAACCCACTACCTCACAAATGCTGGGCAAATGCCCTGCCAGTACTGAGCCATGGCCACAGTCCTTGCTTAATATATATTTTTTAATTTTTTAATATTTATTTTTTAGTTATCGGCAGACATAACATCTTTGTACGGGGTGCTGAGGATCGAACCCGGGCTGCACGCATGCCAGGCGAGCGCGCTACCGCTTGAGCCACATCCCCAGCCCCTTGCTTAATATTTTTAACCTTCAATGTCGAATTTTATCACAGAATGTTTTGTCTGCATAATGTGGTAAGTTTAGAAAATGAGAGTAAGCATCACAAACAGTGTTGATGCTCACTGGGCGTGTGGCACACACCTATAATCCCAGAGGCTTGGGGGCTGAGACAAGAGGATCGTGAGTTCAAAGCCGGCCTCAGCAACAGCAAGGCGCTAAGCAACTCAGTGAGACCCTGTCTCTTATAAAATACGAATAGGGCTGGGGATGGGGCTCAGTGGTGGAGTGCCCTGAGTCAATCCTCAGTACCCGCCCCCCTCAAGAAACAGTGTTGCTGGATTCACATGGCAAATTGAGCAGACACAAGTCTTATAAAAGTAACAGTAATAAATTAAAACCTTTTTCAATTGGCCCTTCAACACATAGTTTGAGAAATTCTGAGAATCTCCACTCATAAAAAATCTAACTGGAGGGGCTGGGGTTGTGGTACGACGGTAGAGCACTTGCCTGGCATGCCTGAGTCACTGAGTTCGATCCCCGGCACCACTTAAGAATAAAAACAAATTAAAAAAAAGGTATTGTGTCCATCTTAAAAAAAATCTAACTGGAGACTAATTTTACATTTTTCTTTGCCAGGAAAGCTCATCTATTCGCTTGTTGATGATATTTTCATTTCTCCTTTGGCAGTGAAATTATATTCTTTCTTTCTTTATCATTTTTTTTTGTGTGTGTGTGTATGTGTGCGTGTGTGTTGCTGAGGACTGAACTCACTGTTTTCTGCCACTGTTTTTTTAGGGATCAGCTGTCTAGCTGAGCATGGGTAAATGCCTGTAATCCCAGCAAGTCAGGAGGCTGAAGCAGGAGGATCACAAGGTCAAGCCCAGCCTCAGCAATATGGAAGACCCTAAGGAACTTAGCAAGATTTTTTCTCAAAACGAAGAACAAAAGGGGCTGGGGATGTGGGTTCATTCCCCAGTACCATAGAAAGAAGGAAGGAAGGAAGAAGGAAGGAAGGAAGGAAGGAAGGAAGGAAGGAAGGAAGGAAGGAAGGAATCAACTATAGGTCTAGCTATGGTTCCTCTGAAAAAGTTGTTTTCTGGCTACTTTTACATCCTTTCTTGACCTTGTGTGTGTACTGGCCAGTTCTCTACTGTGGGACCCTAACCCCTATCTGACCTGCAGTTCTCCATAATCAAGTTTCTTAGGGCAAAAGAATCCATGGGATCAAAATAAGCAGATCATCCTGCTTGGACCTGACTCTGCTGAGTTTCCATGGATGACTAAAGAAAGCAACTGAACACACCCACTGAGCCCCTGAACTTCACGAAACAGCCACAAGCCTAAAGTGAAAACCAGAATTCAGCTTCCAAAAGGCAGTCAGTGGTATCAAGGGCTGTCCAAACAGACCAACTGAAATTCAAATGGAATCAAACCATGAACCATGTGATAGACACAGTCAGGATCACTAAAGGCATCCGTGTCCTAATTCCTGTAACCTGTGAATACGATGTTACCTTCAACAGCCAAAAGGACTTTGTGGATGTGATAAAGTTGAGGATCTGGACATGGGGAAATTAGCCTAGAAAAATCACGTTGTTTGCAAGGACAAGTAGCTGATCTGGGTGGAGCAATTTGATCAGAGGATCCAAAAACATGAAAAGGGGAGGCATGAGAGTCAGAGAAAGAGAGTGGTTAAGAAAAGCAGGGCTGGGGTGATACAGCCCAGAAAAAGGCTCAACCCGCCACTGCCAGCTTTGAAGGAGGAGGAAGGGGTCACGAACCAAAGGATACAGTGGACTCCAGGAGCTTTAAAAAGTATGGAAACAGATTAACCCTGAAGCCCGCAGAAAATGTAGCCCTGACAACACCCTGCTTTTAGACCAGTAAGACCCCTTCAGACTTCAGACGTCCAGGGCTGCCATGTTCTGTGGTCATTGTTACAGCAGCAATAAGAAACTAATACAGACCACCACACAGGAGCAACTTCCAAACTCCCATTTTGTGAGTCAATGATGTGCAAGAAAACATTTGTTCTAGACAAACAGTGCTCTTTAATCAAAAGTAGGTGAGAAATACCAGAATGAATCCCTTGTAGAACAAAGTAAATATTCCTTGGTGACACTTCCGTTTCAGATATGTATGTGTGTGTTTTTATCTGTATGCATCTGGGTGCGTACAAACTGTATCACAATGAGTCACGGTCTTAAAAACTTGAAAGGACGCTAGCCTAGAAAAATCACATTGTTTGGGAGGACAAGTAGCGAGGACTTGGGGTGACAGATTAGAAATCTGACTGAATTCTACTATATTCCATCATCCTATTTTTGCAAATGAAAAAAACTGGGGCCCCGAGAGGGGAAGACTTTCCATGGCCACACAGCCCTGATGTGGCAGAACTGGGATTCCCATGCAGGTCTGCTGGCTCAGGAGAGCCTGTCCCAGTGAACAGCACCAGCCCCTCCTCCCACCTTGAATATCTAGGAGTGTGCAAAGCACCAAACCCCCATATTCCCAATGACCAAAACTCCATCGGGTGGATGCTTTTGAAGGCCCCATTTTTCAGATGAGGAAGCTAAGGTTCAGGAGGTTACAACTGGGCCCTGAGTAGGATCCACAGAGCCTGCCCTCGGCACCCACCTGCTTGTCCAGGGTCTTCATCTGCTCCTGCAGCTCCTCCACCTTGGCCTGAGCCCTCGCCTTGCACTTAAGCAGGTGGTCCATGTTCTCCAGCCGCTCATTGTCCCGCAGCCTCTTGACTTGGCTCTGGGCCACGCTGATCTGCATCTGGAGCTTGGCCCGCACCTGCTCCAGGCGCTGGATCTCCTCGCTGCCCAGGCAGGGAGGTGGAGGAGAGGCCAGCGAGTGGGCAAAGCTCAGTCTCTCTAAGGCAATCCCGAGCTCCAGTCCTCCCCGCTCAGACCAGCCCTTTTTATACCCTCTCCCCAGACCGGGCCCCAGGCTCTCAGCTCACAGTTGCTTGTTGATGCGCTGGTGGACTTCCTTGCTGTAGGTCCGCCTTTCCCCTTCCATCACCTTGCACTGTCGCTGCAACCTGCTCAGCTCCCAATCCACTGAGGGTGGGACCAAGCAAGGGACTCAACACGGACCTGAGCCAGCAGCCCCCTTCTCCCTGGGACCTGGAATCGTGGTCTCTCTGGGGTCTCACAAACTGCAAATGAACTGCAGACCCAGCGGCCAACACTCTACTAGGACTACATCTCAGTTCCTGTACCCTCCAGCTTCCAGGTCCATTCATACTCCCTGTACCCAAGCTATACTCCTTCTTTCCCCTAAACCCACTCCACCGGAAGTTTGGGCACTTATCTGTTTTCCCACTAGAGGGCGCTCCTAGAACACCTCTTGGACCTCTGGAACCTGAGGCACCCTACAAGGGACTTGGGAAAGCTCGGGCTCCATGCTCGCTTCCAGCAGGAACCACAGTAGCCCTCCGCCCCATTCTCCTGCCGCCTCACGCTGTCCGCTGGTCCCTTAGGCTCCGCTTCATCCCTTCCTGCTTGAATCATCATCGGTCTCCTTCACAACCTCCATTTACAGTCCTCAGGGTCTTTTAACACCCAGAGTAGACCCTGGCCCTCCCATGCTCAAGGGCCTCCCAAGGCACAGTATATACAGGACAAAGTCCCAGCTCCTCGGTCTGGCACTCGAGGTCCCATATGACCTGACTCTGCCCATCTCTCCAGTCTTTTCCACCACCTCCCCCACCTCCCAAGACCCAATGCTTCTCCACCAGGAGCACTTCTGTCCCCACAGATATTTGACAATATCTGGAGACATTTTTTTTATTGCTATAACTTGGGCTGGGTATGCTACTGACATCTCATGAATAGAAGCCAGAGATGGCTTTTGGTATTCTATAATGCACAGGATATTCCTAACGACAAAGAACTCTCCTACTAGAGGTGTCAAGAGTTTCAAGAGAAATTCTTCTCGGGGCACCCCGTTGTTCTCTCTGCAGAAACGCCCTTCCCTGCCTTCTCCCCTGAGCAATCCTTGGGAGATGTTCTGGGCCTCACTCAAATTTCTGCAGCTGCCAATCTTTCTGGCGCACCCCGCTGCTCCGGCCTGCCCACCCCGCATCTGCCGGGTGCTACTTCCAGTCGCAAGCATGCCTGTTTTCCCACTAGAGGGCGCTCCTGGAGCTCGACCCGGGACCTGGAGCTTGGGGAAGCTAAGGACAGGGAAAGGATGAGTGGGAAAAAGAAAGAATGTATGAATTACTCATTCCCTCCAGGAAGGACTCGCTTCCATCCTCGGAGCGGTTGCTCTTTGCAGAGAGTTCCAAAGGCATCTTGGCCAAAGAAGGCGGGGCTCCTGTCGGAATTAACACCACATCCTTCAGAAAGCAGGCAGTCAAGTGCCGGGAAGTGTGTGTGTGTGGGGGGGGGGGGGCGAATTGCTAGGGACTGGGATTTGGAAGAGGAAGATACTAGAACCGCTCTGACCTTTCTCTGAGTCTCAGTTCCTCCCAAGGACCGTATGGGTATATCTCTCAGGCTGGGACCCCACACCACTCCTGACCTCCCCATCTCTCACATTCTTGGACTTGCGTGCCGGGGCTCACTAGCGCAAGGGGACAGGTCCCGTGAGCTCTCCGTATCTCCGAGGACAGAGCTGCATGGTCAAAGGAGGGGGAGCCCGGGTCGGCGGTGGGGTCAGGATATAAGGCCCCAGCCCTACCTGCTGGAGTGCCCGACCTGTGTCCTTAGTGCTCTAAGCTCACTGTTGTGATCACTGTTGTGATCTGGTTACTGGGGAGATAAGGGACCAATGAGGCCAGAGGACAGCGTCCTGGGAGGGACCAAGGTAGCGGGGTAGAATCTAGGTGGGGAGGAAGGGCGGAGGAGGAGCGGAGGAGGTGGTGAGTGAGCCACTCGTGGGGCTCCCCGGGGCTTAGACTGACGGCTTCAGGGCCTGCGAGGGCGGGTCTGGGAGAGTCTGGGAGGAGTGGGACTGAGAAGGTCCAGGGCTTCGGGGTGGGTGAGGGGAGGAGCACCGGCACTTGTCAAAGGTGGGGCTGTCAGGGACCACAGGGAAGACCGGGGCCTGTAAAGGGCGGGGCGGGGGCGGGGCCTGTAAAAGGCGGGGAGGGGCGGGGGCAGGGCCTGCGGTGGGCGGGGACAGGGCGGTATTTAAAGGGCGGGGCCTTAAGGGTGTTCCGAGGAGCTGAGTACTTAAGGGGCGGAGCCGCGAGCGGCTGCCAAAAGTCCTGCGGAAACGCGGGAGGGGCGGGCTACCCGGGAGGCGCTAGAACCCGGAGGGCCCTTGGGAGGTCAGGACGGTCCGTGTGGGGAGGGGACCTTGGGGTTGTGAGGGTCTGAGGAATGTCGCGGGCCTGTGAGCCGCGGACTGTGTTTCCGGGAAGGAGAGGCAGTAGTTGAAAGATCCTAGAGAGAAACGTCTGGAAGGCTTTTGGGCTAGACTGAGGTCCTTTGGGGCCCGTCGGAGAAACACGCGCCTCAGGCTGATTAAGGCCACGTTATTTTGAGACTTCATTAGCAAGGAGGCGGTGCCAAAGCCGGGAATTGTGGCGGGGGCGAGCGCTCACCGCTGCCTTTGGTCCTCGCAGAAACTCGCTACGCATGCGCGGCCAACGGCTTCCAAAGAAGCCGCCAAAAGAAGCCCTTGGCCACCTACCGCGTCTGCGCATTGGGAGGCGGAAGTGGGCGGGACCTCAGCGCTGCCGCCTTTGCATCCTCTGGCCACGCCCCTCTTGATCACACCCTCTTTCCGCAGGACCTGCCTCCTCCGCAGCCAGCTGCTGCCCACATGGGCCTCCCTCGCGGGCGGCCAGTGGGCGCCTCTCCTGCAGGCAGGGTGTGCCCGACGCCTGCGGTTTCCTGTGGGAGGAAACGGCTCGCGGACGCTCAGCTCTGCTCGTATCCTCAGAGGCACGGAAGGGGGAGATCCCGCCACCTCTCTCGCTTCCCAATTCTCGCCTTCCACAGAGGCCCGCCTACCCTCACCCTAAAAACACCCTCCAGAGTACCTAAGTCCAGCTCTGATCCAACCCAGGGAACCTGTCTTGGAGTGCGAGGGCTGTTTCTCAGGGCCCTTTTCAATTTACGTCTGCCTCCTCCGTGAAGCCCTACTCCTCCCAAGACCTGGGGCGGGGCTGTACTCCCAGAGGAGCACATGGCACTCTCCCCCAACCCAGAAGTTTTCCCTCAGTGACCTAGACTTTTAAACTTCCTTGAGAATTCAGTCCCAGTCTCCATCCTCAGGAATTTAAGTTTGGGATTCCTTATTTTCCTCCCCAAAAGATTCTCAATTTTGGATTCCAGACTTTAGCCTTGGGACCCAATGGACCCAAAAATTTGCTCTTTCACTGGGCGTGGTGGCGCACACCTATAATCCAGCGACTTGGAGACTGAGGCAGAAAGATCACAAGTTCAAAGCCAGCTCAGCAACTCAGCAAGGCTCTAAGCAACTGTCTCAAAAAAAAAAAAAAAAAATTAAAAGGGCTGGGATGTAGTTCAGTGGTTAAGCACCCATAAAAATAAAACAATTTACTCTGTCGCTGGACCCTGAATTTTTCAGGGTCTGCCTGAATCCACTCAGGACTCAGGGCCTGATGTAAGTAGCAGGACATACAGTAACAGTGCTCACTGTGTGCCCAGCATTTCTCTAAGACCTATACTTTGATGTATTTACTATCATCCCTATTTACAGGTGAAGAAACTGAGGCATGGAGGGGTTATAGTAACTGCTCAGAATCACACAATGAGTAAAGCAGCTTGGATTTGGATCCAGCCACTCTGGCTCTAAAGTCTGTGTTATAATGGTACCCCAGCTTCTGGGTCTTCAGATACCCACCCAAGCACTGAATTGTAAGACTCTCATCTCCTCAGGGAGCCCAAATCAACACACCCAGCTCTGGCCCCATCTGATACCAGACATGTCAGCATCCATTCCCCAACTTTCAATTCATTAGGACCCTGACACTTGGTCCCCTTCAAAGAGATCCAGGTCCACAGTAGCAATCACCCACACACACCCTAATTCAGTATCCCAACAGTAGACAATAATAATAGTTAACATTAAGTCCCTGGTGCCAGAGTTCTGTTAAAGCCCTCTAGTGGCTTCCCACTGCACTTAGAATAAAATACAAACTCCTCCCTTGGTCTTCAAGGGTACCCTTTGATTCCCTTCCCACCATTCCCTCTGGCTCCCTTTGCTCCAGCCACACTGGCCTTTCTGTCTGTTGCCCAAACAACTGGAGCTTGTTCTTAAAGCCTTTGTACTTCCGCTTCTGCCTAGCACTCAAATGATTTCTGTCTTTGGGTCTCAGAGTAAATGTCACCTCCTCCAAGATGCCTTCCCTGATTACCTGTTTCAGAGAGCCTCCCCTCATCCAGTCATTATCTCCATTGCTCAATTTCCTTCAAAGCACTTATCACTATCAAATTTGTCTTCCTCACTGGTATGTTTCTTTTTATTGCCCATCTCCCTCTACTAGAAGACAAGCTCCACACGATTCACGTCTAATTTATTTATTATTGATTTCTGCTTCACGGGAAATGTTCAATAAACGTTTGGTGAAGGAAGACACGTCTCCAGTGTGTCAGTGTACTGGCATTACCTTATTCATTCAGAACTAGAAGAATGACTGTCATCAGTTTATTAGCTTGCTGTCAGCATGATGAGTCCCACTACACAGATTAGGAAAGTGAGGCTCAGAGAAATGAAATAAGTGGCCAAGATTACCCAGTCAGGAAATGAGGACACTGGGATTCTTAACTCCCCCCCACCCCCTGCAGAGTTTAACAGGGGCTCCTCTGACCCTCACCACAGAGCCAAGTCCACCAGTCCCATGCCCACTCCCAGTCATAGGAATCTGCCTCCTCCCAGGTCTCCTGCCCTCCCATCATCCAGCCCCAAAGTCCATCAATGACACAGGACGACGGACCCCAGGACAAAACTCAGAGTCCAGGAGGCCTGAGAATCGGACCCTCCCACCCTGATGTCTGCCCCAAGGGCCTTCACATCCCAGTCCTGGGAGGGAGCCCCAGAGGATGCCCGTCAAGGGGACACTGGGCAGGGGTTCCTCTCGGGGAATTCCCTCTCAGAGGTTCCTCCCACTGGCTGCAGACCTCAGCTGGGTGCGGTGAGGGTGGGTATAAAAGGGTCAGTATATATTGAGAGGAGCAGAGGAGAGAGAGAAAGAGGGTTAGGCAGGGAGACGGAGAGAAAGAGAGAGAGGTGGGGAGAAGGAGGGAACCCGACGGAGGAGAGAGCGAGGGAGGGAGGAGGGAGGGAGGGAGGCGGCGAGGGAGGCGGGGGCCTCGAGAGGGTGGAAGGAGGGAGGAGAAGGGCGGGGCACGGAGGCCCGAGCGAGGGACTCGACTCCAACTCTTGACTTTTTCCGCGGCTCTCGGTAAGTTTCCAGTCCGTTATTCGAGCTGGGATTTCTTTATTTACTTGGGAGTGCAGCAGGTTGGGAAAGACACCCCCAGACTGCGAGAGACCCCCCCCCACTCTCGCCTCCCCGTGGAGACTCTTGTAATTTAAGAAGGGGTCTCAGCACTTGGGGTAGAGACTCAGGAAGGGGTGGGGCCGGCATGGATTGGGGGTCTGCTGGGGAGAGTCCCCGACAGGAAAGCATCCTGCAGTTTCTCCCCAGGGCTGTCCACTCTCCCCCCCCCCGAGGGCCCGAGATCAAGGGGTGCGTGCGGACACCTCAGTCTGCGGAACCTCCAGGCCCCCATTTCTGGACACTCCAGGGTGCTGGGAGCTGTTCCTTCCTCTCCAGCCTCCCGCTCCCGGCCCTTCTCATCCATCTTCCCCAGAAGGTGTCTGGCAGGCACCAGTCTGGCAGCAGGGTGGGGTGAGGACCTCGTGGACATGGCCAGGGGCTGGGGTTTCCCTGGTGCTTGGAGGCAGAGGGGTGGATGAGTCACCAGATGAGTCACCCGGTCCCCCTCCTCCCCACCCCAGGAGGGGAGTGGTGTGAGTCAAGGATGCCTGTCTCCTAGCCCCTGATACATGGAGGAGTGGGGGTCAACTTGAATTTTCGTAAGCTGACCCATATGTCCCCAGGGACAGGGATCTGAGGAGACAGGGGCCACACTGCTAGTCTTACTCATTCCAGCACCCAGGACCTGACGCTGGCATTCTCCAGCCCCTGGGAAACGCAGGAGACCAGAGCTCAACTGCCTCCTCCCTGAGGAGTCCAGACCCCAGCCCTCCTCCCTCAGGATTGGGGTGTCTCATCAGCCTGGGTACCAGCCTCTTAAGCTTCCATCTCCTGACTACCCACTCCCCAGGCTTCCACCACAGCCATGTCGCTCCTCCTGCTGGTTGTCTCTGCCCTTCACATCCTCATTCTCATCCTACTTTTTGTGGCCACTTTGGACAAGGTAAGCCTTCTTGGAGGCGGGGCCTCCCGTTCTCCTGCAGACAAGCCACGCCCCTTCTCTAAAACCACTCCGGCGCTGCCCGCTTTTTCTAGTCTCCACGCCCTCTCCTACTCTACCCGTGCCCTCCCCACCCACCCCCCACACCTGGCTCTTTTCCTAATCCTTCCTAGGGTCCTCCCGACCCCGCCCATCCTCCCCTCCTAACTCCGCCCTTTCTCCGTCCCAGTCCTGGTGGACTCTCCCGGGAAAGGAGTCCCTGAATCTCTGGTATGACTGCACGTGGAACAACGGCACCAAAACATGGGCCTGCAGTAATGTTAGTGAGAATGGTAAGGACTGAGGGGTGGGGGCCCCAAGCCTCCTCCCCACTCTCGGACAGAGGATTGAGAACCCCAAAAGTCGGATTGGGCGGGACAGGGCCCTGCGGCTGAGTGGGTGGGGTTGAAGCGTGCCCACTGGTCTGAGTTGCTCCTGTTCTAAAGAGGTGGGGCTAAAAGCCCCCTCCTTATGATTCAGGAAGGGTGAACTCCACATGCTATAGGTTTAGGGAACGGGGAGACAGTTCCCCTAATTCTGAGAAGATACTGTTTCCAAAGTTTTAAGGAGATGGAGATGGTGTCCTAAATGGAGCATGGGACCAATTTGTCCAGATTCCAAGGGGGTGGAACATTAAGTTTCTTGAAGGGTGGGACCCCGAGAACCTGAAAGCTTTACCCTTCTAAAAGTGAAAGAGGTGGGGCTGGGATGTGGCTCAATGGTGGAGGCTTGCTTTTCCCCTAAGATCAAAGCAAATGGTTTGCCCTCATTTCTATTCAGTGTTGTACTGGAGTTAGCTAAGGCAAGAAAATGAAATGAAAGGAATTAGTAAAAAGCATCTCACTGGGAATGTGGCTCAGTGGTAGAGCACTTGTGTAGTAAAAAGCATCTCTATTCCTAGCAGACATGTTTGTTTGTGTAGAAAAATCCTTCTAAAATCTGCAAAGTGACCACTAGAATTGATAAGGAATTTAGTAAGGTCATGTAAGTATACTAAGTATCTAAACTCATGGCTCTACATGGGAGAGGGGATAAGAGGGGACAGGGCAAATGATTAGCAAACAGAAAGTGGGACCAGTGATTTCCACCTCTCTCCTCCTTCCTGCAGGTTGGCTGAAGGCGGTGCAGGTGCTCATGGTGCTTTCCCTCATCCTCTGCTGTCTGTCCTTCATCCTGTTCATGTTCCAGCTCTACACCATGCGGAGAGGAGGGCTCTTCTATGCCACTGGCCTGTGTCAACTTTGTACCAGTGAGCATCCCCCATTTTCCCTCCCTACTTGGGGCACTGAGGGGAAGGATGGAAAGTGTCAGGATGCCTGGGGCCCAGGGACACCTGGTGAAAGAACAATTTCCAACATTCCAAGAACCACCTGAAGTGTCTCAGTGAACTGCCTCTCTGCCCCCAGGGCTGATGGGAGTTGTAGTTCTCAGTGACAGCGCTGGGTTTGCCCTGAGTCATGGGGGGGTGCTGGTATGAGGGAATTTAGAGGTTCAAGGAGCCAGAGGATGGGTAAATAATTTGGGTCTTAGGGATGAGGTATAGCTAATGAATACCCCAAAGGGGAGCTGGAGATCACAATGGTAATTGCATCATTTCAGCCAGCTGTTATTTCTGGAGTAACTACCCTGTGTCAGACATTTAAGGGAGTTTTATTTCCTTTTTTTTTTTTTACTTAAGGTGCAAAGAGCTAAATTAATCATAGTCCCTAGCTTTCAAAATATTATCTTCCTGAGTTCCTGCAAAGCCCCGATCTTGTTTTATTAATTCACTGTTGCATGCTAGGGTTGTAAAACACACAGAAAATTCCATGGATGGATGGATGGACAGGTGGATATGATCGTCCCATTCTATGGAGAAGCAAATAGGAGCCAGAAATTAAATTAATTGCCAAGGCCCCTCAGTAGCTCCATTGCCTGGCGCTGGCAGGAGAGAGCCATGACCTCAGCAGCAGCAGGCGGCGGTGTACCCACCCCCTGGCAGTCAGGAAGTCTGTGGGCACAACGTGACGCCCCTTCCCTTTTCCCGCAGGCGTGGCAGTGTTCACCGGGGCCCTGATCTACGCCATTCACGCGGAGGAGATCCTGGCAAAGCACCCGCGTGGAGGCAGCTTCGGCTACTGCTTCGCCCTGGCCTGGGTGGCCTTCCCCCTCGCCCTGGTCAGCGGCATCATCTACATCCACCTGCGAAAGCGAGAGTGACCGCCAGCCCCGGCCCCTCGCCTCGCCCGGAAGCCCCCAGCGTAATAAAAGTGTTTAACCGCGACTTCTGCCATTGCCTCCTTCCTTCTTCCTGGCGCCTTCAGGGCCCCTGGTGCACACACCTCCCTCCTGTACCAGGCGGACCCACCTCAGCCGCTCCACCTCCGAATGCCAGTCTCCCAGCCCACAGCCCCTTGCCTCCTGGGAACCAGCGCCCTTTTGCTCCCACAGATTCAAGAGCCAGGTCCTCCCCTCTGGGACCCAGAACCCGTAACGGGCACCCGAGTTAGACCTTTAGGCACGTCCAGGAAGAACCAGCAATCTGAGTCCCCAGCAAATCCTGTCAGGAATCACAAGCCTGGAGCCACTGTCCTCTCTGCTGGCTCAAGCTTACGTCTGGGTGCTCACTCTCTGGGGCCCACCACGCTCCTTCTAAACTGTTGAATTTTTAAATGTTATTTATTTATTTTTTAAGTTGTAGATGGTCACAATACCTTTATTTAGTTTTTTGTTTGTTTTTGGTTTTTGGGTTTTGTCGTGCTGGAGATGGAACCCAGTGCCTGGCGCATGCTGGGCAAGCACTCTACCACTGAGCCACAACCCAGCGCCCTGTGGATCCTTTTTTAACTCTCTCTCTAACGCTCCCTCTGGGAGGGGTTTTTCGTTTTCCCTGTTAGAAACCAGCCTCCCTCTCCTCTCTAGGACCCAACCCTTCCTCTTTCCCCCCTTTCCCCAAAGACTACCTAGTTGTTAACATCTTAGTAAATATCAGAGGGCACACCCCTCCTTCTGGCTGACCTGGTCCCACAGTCGGACACTGTCATGGACTGGACTCCACAGCCACCTTTCTCCTGGCTGTGGGAACAATCTGCACAACTGCACTTGACCACCCTATCTCCCTGTTCATGAGACCCAGACGCAAACCATGGCTTCTCCCCAGGAACCGGTCTTTCTAAGATCCTCTTCTGACACCCACAAATCAAATCTCTACAACTACAGCTTCCTCTGTCCAGGAACCATCTGCACGCACTAGTATCCCTCCAAGACCCAGAGTCCATCCTTTCCAGGATTCTAATACCACCCCTCGTTCCCAACTCTGAAGCCACCCTACTCAGCCAGATGTATTAAACATGATTTATTCCTCTGGGAGACAGGAGAGAAACTGACAGATAATAAATATTGCACTGGGCACTGGCGGTGGGGAAATCCAGGCAGAGGTAGTTTCTATAGAAAGGGTGAAGGACCCAGGTGAGGAAGGCACCTGAGACTGTTGGGAGCCTAAGCTTGGGGTGGGGGTGGTCTTCCAGGCCCACAGCTTCTGCCTGGCACCAGGTTCCCAACCCCTTCAGCCAGGACACCCTGGTCAGCAGTTGACCAGATGGCCCACCACACAGCAGCAATGGACACAAAGAGCAGGTTCCTCTGGAAATTCTGATTGGTGGGTTCTCTGCAGACAACTGGCTGCACAAAACTGATGGTGCCCAGCAGCTGTCATTGGCTGTTTGCCAGGGGGCGGGGCCAAACGGCTGTCCCTGGCTGCGGCCTGGAGCCCCGCCCAGGTGTACTTGGTGGGCAGTTCCCCCCAGGGAGGCCAAGAAGACAGCGATATATAGCCTCGGGAGGGCACGGCTTCCACAGCTGGGCCTGGGAGTTCATCGAAGCCAGAGCTGAACAGCTGTGATTGGCCGACACCTCATCTCCTCAGCCTCACCACATTTGGATGTTCCGGGGGTGGGACTAAGAAATGGAACTGAAGGGAGCTAAATAGCTGTGATAGGCTGTTCACGAGAAGCCGGGCTGCCTAGCAACTGCAGCTGCCTTGGTTGGCTGATTTAAGTATACAGAGTAGCAAAAATAATAGCCTGTCAGTAACTGGAAGTTGGAGAATGACACAGTGTCCGTGATTGACAGCTTGGCATGGAGGAGGCGGGTCTGGGTTCCTAGCCAGGTGGCAGGCAGGACAGGGCGGGGAGGGTGCAGTCAGTTGTTGCTACTACTGGGTGCGGCCTGGGAGGACTCGGAAGTGACTGGAGCTAACGGGTCTAGTTTGGGGAAACCCGGGGGAGGGTACAGCCCCATACTGGGGGTCAGGGCTTGCAGGTGGGCCAGGGCCCTAGATCCATTGAAGGCCACTTCATAGCCTGACTGGGCCAGAAGCCATTTCTCCACCTCTAACTGGAGCCACCTGGAGGTCTCTGCAGGGGAAGAGGCAGGTGTGAGGTCACACTGGGACCAGCAAGGGCGAGGAGGGGCCAGCAGGGGGAGCCCAGGTCTGGGATGGCCTAGGGGTACACTGGAAGGGGAGCGGAACAGGCACAGAAGGTTCCATTCGACCCTCATCTGGAGAGAAGCCAGGGCCTCATGCAAGAAAGACGAGTGCAGGTGTCCTGATGTCCTGACAGGACCACCTGGGGCCAACACAGGGTGGGGACCAAGTCTGCAGCAGTGTGGGCTCATGTACAGTAAAGAGTGCAGAAGAGGGGCCACTGGTCCAGGACCCTCATGCAGACGGAGGTCAAGAGAAACAGGTCAGGGTTGGGCTCAGGGTCCTGTCAGCTCAAGGACAGGGTATCCTTGAAAATCTGCCAGGTTTACCAGCACTGGGCGCTGGAGGGAGTAGATGGCAAGCAGATGGTGTCTCCCTGGGGCGGGGGCCACAGAGGGACGGGGACATGGCCTGGCTAGACAGGACAGAAAGGCCTACCTTCTGGTGGGCCACACATGCCCTCTGGCCGGCGGGCCAGGAAGCTGTGTGCCAGCAGCGCCTCCTTGGTGTGCTCGATCTGCGCACGCAGGGCCAGGGCGCTGAGCAGCTCCGAGTTGTTGGACGTGCTGCGGTAGTACAGCATGTGCGCCAGCTCCAGGGCCTGCACGCTGCGCCGCTGCCCGAACATCTGCCCAGGACAGCTGCAGGGTCAGCCGGGCAACCAGCCTCACCCTGCCCAGCCCTGCCCTGCACACCTGTCCCTCCAGCAGACTCACCACAGGGAGGTAGAGGATGGTGTTGAAAACCTACTAGTCCCCAAGGCTGAGCCTGGGAAGGAGAACTTTAACACACATTCTCTCGGCCCCAGAGGCTCCCAGGCAGCCCTTAGGAAGACCTGCACTGGCTGGCTCCTCTGGCCCCAGGCTAATGAGTCTGCCTGGTGGATTTCTAAGCTTCGTGAGTTTCAGCCTCAGAAGTGCCTATTACAGTAAGTCCTCGTCTGTGGCTGACAGACTTCCTTACTTCCAGATGAGACGTCTAGGGTCTGCTCCAAAGTGACGCAGTGGTGGGTCTCTGGATGAAATCACACTTGCTCTTGGTGTTGGGTGCTGCCTACTTGGGGGTTCATCCCGCTATTCTATTTCTGCCTTGTGTGAATTTTTGCATAATGAACAAAGGTTTTACCTATTAAATTGTGAAGAGCAGTGAGGGAAGAAGAGGCAGACCTGAGCCCACGTGTCCCTCGCATCCCCTCCCTCCTAGCACCTCCTTGCTTCGTGTCCCTGAGGAGCAGAGGGGAGAGCCCGCCCCAGCCCTCTGGACTCACGCAGGAAACCTGTGCTCAGATTCCTCCATTCATCCACAAAAGGAGTTCGAGGCCACTAGGTGCTGCAGCCACCATGCCTGTCCCCTCCATGCCCCTGCCAGCTGCAAGCCCCTGGCTAAAACCTCAGTCCTGGGGTAGCACTGTCTGTGCAGCGAGGAGAACTGATGCCCAGGAGGGCCCAGAAGTCAACCCAGGGATCATGGAAGGCCTGGGGCAGAGCCTGGCCACACCCGAGCACTCAAACATCAGCTATCATGAGACAGCCTGGTGGGGGTGCCTACAGAGTGCCACCTGTCTCCTAGAGAGGTCTAAGGTGACATGCTTCTGCAGGAACACAGCCCATAACATGGCTCAACGGCCCACGTTATGCCAAGGACTCAGCTATGTAGGGGCGGTGACTTCTTGCCAGCCCAGCACCCTGGCTTCTGTCCTGCAAGGGGTCAATCACCATTAGTGGAGGACAAGAGGCAGGTTTGTGTCTTCTTCTCTCCAGCCTATGGAGTTGGCTCCTCCCACGTGGAAGGAGGGGGTCCTGCCACTCCACCGCACACACATGGACCCAAAGTTCCCCTGTGTCCTTTCAACACAGCACCACCCACACTGACAGCATCTCCCCCCACCCACCTGCTCCTCCTCCCCTGGAATGGCATCTGGAGAGGCCCCACCGCCTACTAAGCCAAGGCCAGACTCCCAACCCTGTCCTGGCCCACTCCTCTCCAGCTTCAGCCCCAGCCCCCTGCTCGGTCCCCACTCAGGCCTGATCCTCTCCTGCAAGGGCAGCATCCCAGCCCCTGCCTGGGCTCAGTCTCCTGCTGTGGTCTGTCCCTACACAGTTCAGAGCTGTCCCTGCCCCGCCCCTGCTCAAGGCTCTCCCATGGCTCCCTAGAGATTTGGACCCACTCCTTTCCTGCCTGTCCCCTCCCAGTGCAGCCCATGGGGAGTGGGGCCAGGCTGCCCCTGCTCTGTTCTTGGAGAATCCTCACTGCCTCCTCCTCAAGGGGCAGAGCAGATGGCGCTGCATCCTGGGCTCCTGCACCCTGCTTCCACCTCCCCCGGGGTGGCCATCAGTGTCCATGTGCCCGGCCCCTCTCCCTCAGGGCAAGATGGGGCCCACACATCTCTGGGGCAGCAGTTCAACCCCCGCAGGCTGCCCAGGGGCCTGCTCTTTGAGGAGCTCCGGGGACTCACAGGGAGCCAGGGTGCAGCAGGCCCCCAGGAGCAGCATCCTGCTCTGAGCTGCCCACAAAGGCTTCCCAGGGCAGGCAGCCTCTGGGTCTCGGGCAGGGGTGAGCAGGAGTTGGCCAGCGCAATGAGGTGGGAAAGGAATCTGGGTCTACAGGAACAGCATATGCAAAGGCAGAGGAGAGGAAGCAGGGCAGAGGAGAGGAAGCAGGGCAGAGGCGGGCACACTGCCACAGGAATGCCCAGTGTGCCCAGCAAGAAGCATGTGTGAGGCTCAGTCAGCTGAGGCTGGTGTTGGGGAAAGGGCAAGGCCAGCTCTGGGTCCCCTGGGCTGAGCGGAGG